TATATATATATATATATTAGGAAACACGAAAATAATTATTTTCTATTTGCACCATACACCAATAAGTATCCCCCCTATAAATATACCTATAAGTATCCTTATAACTGTATATATTATAACCGTATGATTATAACTGTTAATTAAAAATGATGGAAAAAGCACGATAAAATATGTAATTAATGGAAAAGTAGTGTTTTGTTGTTAACTAATATATCCTCTCTGATTCAAAACGAGCATTTCGGTGCATCTATCAAAATCCAGGTAAGTAAGGAATAAATTTAGAGGTTGTAGATGCAATTCCACTTATTCTTTCTTACTTATTTTTTTTAAAGTAGGGGTCTGAGTGATAAACCTATCGATTTTAATAAAAAAATATCCTTACTCACGTTTTCAATCTAATTCTTCAAAAAGATTAAAAGCGATCAAGAAATAAAAAGTTATTTTTAACATTCGAAATGATAAAAAATGATATAACTGAGATATAAAAAAATTGTGGACATAAATTCCGATGGAAAAAGCTTAATTGGCTCTGAACGGGAATTTCCAAATCTCCCGGATTTTCTCTGGAAATGAAGTAATTGGGAAAGATTAAAGAGCTTTTATAATATATTTTCTGAATAGCTTTCGATATTAAAGTCGAATATCTCTGAAAACTGACATAGCTTCTGAATTGGGGAGGGGGGAGATTTTGAGAGAATAAAAAATCAATTCATTCTGACTGCATTAGCATAGGACAAAATGACAATTCTTAAAATGCAAGAATAGGAATATTTTTTTCCTTATTTCTTGCTTTAGAATTTTTTTCTTCCAAAAATAAATAAAAAACACAGAAAAGCAGCACTTTTTGAGTTAAGTGAAATAAATGAAGTACCCCGAGTCAAGAAAAAGACCCTACGTTTGTATATCTGATTTGAATGCGAATGATAAATTTGATTCAGTGATTGCTAACGGCCCAGATATATTTTGTTCTTATTATAATGTGACTCATTTTCATTTACTGCTGGAGTTTTCTGTAATTCAACTAATGATTTTAGTAGAAAATTTATAAGGTTACATGAGGATGCTATTTTTCTTTATGGGGATACATTCTTAATTGTATTGATTTTAAAAATGAAATGCTTGTTTTATGAAGCAGAAACATTTATGTCCATTATTTAAATTTGGGAAATTAAGTCATGGGACAATTTTTAAAGTGCTCATTTTCTTATTTCTAGATTAAATCTAAATGAACGTTTTGTAAAAACATTTTCATTTTTTCATCAATATCACAATTTTAATGCTTTCTTTTTTTTATTTCATAATTTTTTATGTACCTTCAAATTTAAAATATTCATGCAGAATTATTTTAAATATATTTTTTCTTTCACATTCGAATTTGAAAAGTTTGTAAAGTATAAAATTAAAATTAAATAAGATAATTTCTAATTTAAAAATAAAACTATGAATAACTGCAAATAAATTGGCAATAATGTTTTGGCTCTAAAAACAAAATTTTTTTTTCTATCGGAAATTAAACAGGAGAATTAATAAATATGTCGTAATTAGTCGAGCTATAAAATTTAAAATTTCTTAAATTGAATGAATGATATTTCAATTTTATGCATTTCAGTGTTATAACTAAAACAACCCGATGTAATTTAATAAATATTCTATTTTTTGATCTGATTTATAGCAAATGATATGCTAGAAAGCGCTGAAGATATCATAAATAATATATTAATGAATAAGCCTAAACTTTCGTACAAATAAATGCTAAAACAGATAAAAATAGCTTACATAGATTATTTAACACATGCTAAAAAAGTTCTGGTGAAATAACCATGCTTTATGGTAATAAAATTATTGGTAAAAAAACATAATTCTGATTATTAAAACCAAAATATACGGTATTTAAGCCATTGATTTCGTCAATATTTCCATTCATAAGGCAATGGTTTTCAGAAATACTGGTTTTCCAAATTATAGTTCTTATTACCACACATTTAGAGACAAATACAAAACTGAAATAGAAACTTTGTTCTTAGGTATTATAACAAAGTTAACAAATTTTACCACGTTCGCCACATTTTACCACATATTATAAACCATATTTTTTGTTAATTATACAAATTCCTTACCAAGCTCTAAGGCTAAAATTACCTTTTTGGGGCTCCCATAACTTTTTGGGGTTCCCATAGAGAAGGTGATTTTTAAATTAGAGATTTAATTTATTAAAGACGAAAACACGGTAACATTTATCATATTCTGGTCGGTTTGACCACACATATTTTCTAAGTGCACATACATAATTTCATAATAAATAATTATGATGATCGAATTTTTAAAAATTTATCTTGTTTCTACTGTTTTTTGAACCAAACATTTAAAGGAAAGTTGCAAATTTCACATTTATTCAGGCCCGCATTTGAAATAAAATTATTAATTTGTACATTATTATAATAAAGTTAACATAATACGTATCCGAAATTTCAATATCCACTAACTTTTTAATGTTAGTTTTTCTAATGTGTTTAATTAAAACCATATAATAAACGTATACTATAAATAAACTGTAGTTATTAAAATTATTTCGATTTTCTTGCTACAGTTGTTTCCAATTAATATCATTTTCTTTAGAGATTGACTAGACCCCTGAAACATTAGCGTCTAAATTAATTAACTCTCTACAAAGCTACATGATTTGATTATTTTAATCAGATTTCTCTAAACACATCTTACAATCTTAAAATAATACTGCCAATACTTTTATTACAGTATCAGATATCTTAATTAATTAATATCGTTAAAACAACGTCACCAGGCGTTGCTTTCCAAACCATTTTTTATTCCTTGCGCTTATGTCTTACAGTGGCATTTAAGATAGATTATTTAGAAATATTTTCTCTATGACACAAACATTCTGCTTGGAGGTTTTATTTTTACTTTCCTTTAGTTTTCGACATGGAGGGTGGGTTAACGAACGTGAAATTGGTTGGAATGTGTAACGCAACAACAATAAGATTTTCGCACAGTCTCTCTTTTCTGTTCGTAAAGTCTTCGCCTTAATTAAACTGTCGGCTTCGTGGGTAAATGTAAGAGGAGAGAAAAATTGTGATACTTTTCTTCACAGTTAGATGCAAAAGGGGAAGGTATTTTCTCTTCAGAATCTGAGGACTGCTGTGAAATATACCTAAGGAACTTTTGCCAAATTATTTTATGTCTAATTTGTTGCAACCTTTTTCCACTTACAGAGTTTGGTAAGATTTGAAATTAACTTAATGTATTGAATTCGACTTGTGAAAATTTTTTAAGGTTTTCCGAATATAACTCTCCGGGCTTTTGAACTAAAAATATTAAAAAAGAACGTGACAAATTATTAAATTTTTTTGCTTATTTTGAAATTAGGAAAATTTACATATACACATCATTGATACACACTTATTTGATAAAAAGTCAGTGTCTTTGCTTCATTTGAATTATTTGAAATATGATGCGGGGAATCGATATAATATTATATAAATGCAAAGATGCATGTGATTTTAATATTTTTATGCAATGGGACTAAACAATATTTTTACACTTATATGGAAAATAGTGAGATATAAAATTTCTTTAAAGTACTTGAATTATTAGTATTATCAAAAATTAATTCACTTTTATTATGATTCCTAGCTGTTCAATTTATTTCAACAATTTATCTCGTTTTTAGGTTTTGACAGAATGATACCAGGTTATCCTCGTTATATGATGGAGGGTAGTGGTGAAGATGGTGTTCATGATCTTCGAATTGAAAATGCTCAACTTGAAGATGATGGTGAATTCCAATGCCAGGTATGTAGTATTTCTGGTGGATCATTTTCTCCATGAGGCATCCTTGCATCTTAAAAAGACGGTAAAAAGATATTAATAAATATCTAGCTTTGAGCAAAATAAAAGTACTAAAAATGAAACACAATCCTAATACTGCACTGCGAAAAAAATATTATGATAAAAACTACTTATCGGTTTTCTGACTCTATGGCAAAACCAAGAAGGTCAGTAATTGTTACTGAAGGGCTTTGGTTTTGATTTTGGTTCAAAAATAAAGTATGGTTAAAAAATATAGCATGTGAACAATGTGATAAATAAAAACTGTGATAAAATTTGTTAATTTTGTCATGACACCTTAGAACACTGAATAAAAACCATTTATTTGGCTGAATTTACTTTTAGTTTTGTATTTTTAACTAAATGTGTGGTAACAAAATTTATAATTTTAAAATACAAAAATTCCTTTAAATTGTTACCGTATGAGTTGAAAAAATCACAAAATGATTGACTTAAATTATATATGTTTTGTTTTAATTAACCAGAATTATGTTTTTCTAACTTAAATGTCATTACCATAATTGTTTTTCTCCTTGCAGTAATGTGTTATAGAGTTTAATGTTGAGAACCATGCACGTTATTTTTTACATTTTGTTTGTTGGTTTTAATTAATGCCCAGATTAAACAAAACAATACAATATGAAAATTAGTACTTAAATGTATTGTGTACAGGTTTTACGCACAGTAAAACTTCCTTTAAACATTTCAATCGAAAGTTGTTTTAACATTTCTGTGATATTTTTACGCATAATGATATATCACGCATATTAAACGGTATTCAAGCTTTTACATTTCTGTAATACTTTTGTATTAAGTAGAACTTTCCATGCTAGAAGTTGAGCTCCTGTACATATTTTTAACGTATAATTTGGATTTCTATATTTCACTACATGTAATTGATTAATAATTCAAAAGAATATTATTAGTTTCTTAGCGTAAATTCAACAAAGAGGCTAGAAAGCTTTGACAATTAATTTAAAGGAATTTTTTATGCTTCTACAAATGAAAGTAAATATTTCTGTAAAAAATACATTAAATTAGGCTGTAACGCAACTCAATGGATACATCAGTAGTGTGAATTGCACTAATTTGTCTGCTTTATCTTTTGCTAAAAGAATTTTTTTCTTGCTTTTTATTATTTCTATGTCATGATCAAAGTTTTTTTCATTTAATTCAGTTGTTAATATTAATACTTGTAACTCATCATATTTTAATAATGAAACTAAACTCTTACTTTCTTCTCTTTTAAAAACTCTCTCTCTTGCAATACATATTTTAAAACTATAAAACTGCAAAGAGTACTCTGAGATTTTTTTATTATCTTAAGAGTAATAAATTCTTTGTAAATCAAAACTCATTTGGGAAAACATTTCACGATACGAAAAATTTTAATTTAGCAGATAATATATTTTTTATTAATATTTTAGGTGTTCATTTCCATTTTTTTTTCAAAATATTTTCTTTCAACAAATCTCTATTTACCTACATTTTTAATAAGCAAATATCAATTTTGAATTCCCAGTCCCTAAATAATGAAAGTACGGTAAATTGTAACCTCATTAAAACTTAATTTTCCTTGAAAATGATTAATATTATAAGAGCTGTAAACATATGCATAATTGATTTTCCATCTAAAAATTTAAATTCTCTCTATGATTTTATCTTTACGTATAAAAATATTTGATTTTCCAAATATTAATTGTTGTCGTATTTGTCTTAAACTAGTTTTAGGTATCACACTAATATTTTTTTTATATTAACATGATATATTTAATTAGTATTCGTCTAAAATTAATCTTTGGTATCGTACATTTTTGTGTTTAAAAAATATGATCTACAATGTTATTATTGTTTATTTATATGAGATTCTGTGTAAAATAATATAAAACATGACAGCCAAAATTTATTTCTATATGCTTAAGGGTATTAAAACATATCACAATCCTTAAAACAATACACATTATTAGAGTGATTATAAAGACTACTTATAGTTTACTATTTATAGAAGAACTACTACAGACTTATTTTTCTATTTTTTTTAATTTACAACCTATTAGTTAACCTATATAAATTATGGAAAATATACATCTATCTACCATACCTATTTATTCCTGTTTGTTTGCAAATCACAAATTTTTTCTGAAGCAGATAAATTTTACGTTTAAAAAAAATTATTTAAGAAACTTAACAATCGATCTCAATGATTTAATAAAACATTCATTAAAATATTCACAAAAACATAAATTAAAATATTCTCACAAACGTAAAGAAAAATATTTAATAACCCCCAGCTATCATTTCAAACGCTGAAAATGTTATAAATGCTTATTTTTTTATTTTCAACATAAAACTCAAAAATGATTAGAATACATATACATTTATCTGTTATAGTTCAAAATTCACAGAAAAATAACTAAATTTAATTTTTAATAAGGCATTTATTTATTACAGCGTCCACTATTTTTCCGAAATACAAATAATTTGTCAAATACCTTATTAAAATTATAATTAAAAAAATCTAAATTATGTATAACTAATGCAAATATGTATTTATCAGGAAGAAATTTTTCATGATTTGACTAATTATTAATAAAGCTATCTTCGTTTCAAGCGTATCGAAATCCAAATAATTGTTCAAATACTTATTTGAAATAAAGCATTCAAGGTTTTTTATTATAATTATTTATTTTTTTTAATTCAAACCATATTTTAACATGAAATTCAGAAGTATTTAATTCAAATATCCATCTATTAATGTTAGTTTGCAATTCTTTGAGCAATAATTAAACAAATTTTTAAGAAGTTAGTTAATTCTAGAATCTGCTATTTTACCGAAATGCAAATAGTTCAACAAATACTTAATTAAAATCATAATAAACAAAAACCTAAAATATACATAATTTAATAGAAAATTCGATTTATCAAACAAAATTTTGTTCNTAAAATTCTAATTAAAAAATCTAAATTATGTATAACTAATGCAAATATGTATTTATCAGGAAGAAATTTTTCATGATTTGACTAATTATTAATAAAGCTATCTTCGTTTCAAGTGTATCGAAATCCAAATAATTGTTCAAATACTTATTTGAAATAAAGCATTCAAAGTTTTTTATTATTATTATTTATTTTTTTTCATTCAAGCCATATTTTAACATGAAATTCAGAAGTATTTAAATCAAATATCCATCTATTAATGTTAGTTTGCAATTCTTTGAACAATAATTAAACTAATTTTTAAGAAGTTAGTTAATTCTAGAATCTGCTATTTTACCGAAATGCAAATAGTTCAACAAATACTTAATTAAAATCATAATAAACAAAAACCTAAAATATACATAATTTAATAGAAAATTCGATTTATCAAACAAAATTTTGTTCGCTATAATTTGGCAAAATATTAATAAAGCTATCATCGCTTCAAGCGTATCGAAAACCAAATAGTTGTTCAAATACTTAATTAAAATAAAAATAAACACCGAACATGTTCTAGCCTACTGCCTCAATTGCATTCTGTTGTTATTTTAAGCGAACAAATTTAATTACAAGGGATCTGTTCTGTTTTCATTTACTTTTCTGCTAATGAAGCTTTTTTTTTCTTTTCACAGCTCAATTATCTTAATCCTTACCCACTCTAAGGTTGAAAACGTTTTAAACAAATAAAAAAATTCAGTCTTTTATATCTTAAAGCAGAATCAGACCATCAAGAAAATAAATTTGATTTTCGTTAAGAGCTTTGTAGAAATGTGTATATAAAAAATGAATACTTACTGGAAGCATAACTCGTTTATGGGAAATGTAATGATGAAAAAAAATGTACTTGCTCAACAAAAGCAATTTTCTTAGTTAGCTCATCGTGTTAATATCACTAATTTATCCGGTTTTTAACGCCGGGGTTTTAATTATGCTGACTTTTGGAGGAAACGGATTCGTAATCTAATGATAAAAGTTTTTTTTTAAGGAAATTTGCGAAACGCCTAATTGACTTAGTTAGTTTTTAACAGTTGTGGTTCCTAATTTCAAAAATCAGCAGCTAAATAAGTGCTTTTGTCAAATTACGTGTGCGAATATTTCAGGAAATCAGAAATACTGTTTTTGTTGAAGAAATTGGTTACCTGATTTTTTAAAGTAACATAATACTTTTATGCGTTTGAAAGCAATTGTTTTTATACAATTATAAACGACGTGCGTGATTTGTTTGGTTTTGATAAAAGTGGCAAATAGAGTTATTAAGCTAATCATTTCTTTTGCTAAATTAGTGTAATTACTTTAGGAAATTCATAAGCATGATTGCTTTTCTTAAATTGATTAAATTAATTGTTTATCGAAATTTTTGAATAATTTAATATATTTCTTGTAATTATTTACTGATTTATATATCTGTGTTTTAAATTAAATATCATAATTTGCATAGTTTAACAGTTGTGACTTTATGAAACCAATACTTTTACTTTACTAAAATGCCTTTATTAATATAAACATTATTGAAACCAAAAACAACAAAAAATTCTTTTGTTTTTATCAGAATTTAAAGTTTGCTTGATTTTTTTAGCTGATCTATAATCCTTTGTGTGCTTACCCACTAACGGTTCTGCACATAAAAAATCATATTTTAACCTGTACTCTTCCCCACATTGCATAACTGGTTTTCCATGTTATATTAGATGGGAAAATAGTGTATTGGGAAACATTCTCCCAATTTTGCACTTTACGGTAGAACAGTTTAAATAGGGCCGAAACCGTTCACCCTCGGTCCTTACACAAGCTAATCAAAGTTGTCGCCTTCCCGCAGACTGACAACAGCCATTAGTCCACTGCGAGACACGTCTCTTTTTTGTTTTTATTTTTTTTTTTTGATATCATAAAGAAAGATTTTTTTGTTTTACTAATAATCTATTGAAAGTTTTAAAGGAATTTAGTATGTAGTTTTTAAATACTTCACTAGTAGGGGAGAGTGGGGTCAATTGTAACATCTCTTACTTAACTATTTTTAACGAACAAAAAATCCAATATATTATTAGTATTAATTGACAGACAAATAAAGTAAACTATCCTCTACTAGAAAAAAGAATAAATACCTTATTTTTAATGTTATTATATTAGTTATTAACAATTTATGACGGTCGTGCACTTGTTACAATTGTCCCCATTTACGGGGTCAATTGTAACAGTTCATAAATTCAACTAAAACATTGTTAATTATACATATTTTGATAGTTGTGATATATTTTTTTATTGATCAAAATAGTAGTGATATTTTAGGAGTAAAAATAATAATGAGCAGAGAACTAAAGGGCTAAACTTTTAACTTTAAGGGGGTAAAAATTTTAATTTAAGCAGTGAAAGGCGACAAATTAAATAATGCTTATTTAACAATATATAAATGATATAGGAAACTATTGGTGGTTCTTAAAGAGTTGAGTAAGGGTTAGTAAACATAAGATTATTTATTTTCAGCTGTTACAATCGTCCCTTTACTTATTGTTACAATCGTCCCCAAGACGCCATTTCAGCTTCATTTGTTAAAAACAATGCTAGTTAATTAACAAAACTAATTTTTTTTATTGAAATGTTAATTTAGGTGTCCACTTACATATTCGGTTAATAATTTTTATTTGTTTAAGCATAATTACTTTGTTACAATATAATATTCTAATACCAAAAAAAGTACTTATGTAGCTTGAAAATATCTTTTGTGATGTAACTCTTTCAAAAGTACATAAAAACAGCTGGGGTGTACATGTAGATTTATTAAATACACCTTGTGCGCCATCTAGGAACCAAATCTTGAACCCGACACTCGAAATTTTTCCTCTCTTACAATCGTACCCTGTTACAATTGACCCCACTCTCCCCTACTTTTTCATTTTTTACCATATATAAAAAATAAAGATTAAAGATTTATCTTTTTTGAAAATAGAACAGTTATTTTTATTTGCATATGAATCCACTGTAACAATTCTGCTATCTTTTTTAGGTAGGACCGCACGGTGAAAACAAAGCCATTAGGGTTGATGTCAAACTTACGGTTTTAAGTAAGTGGTTTTATACATTCCAGTATGTTAAATCCGATAAATTCAATATGACAATGAGGAGAAAAATATTTTTAAATTGTGTATGCTTAATGTTTACTCTTAAAAGATAAAACCAAATTAAAATTAAGTAGAGAATTTTATTCGAATCCTAACTTATAAAATTGACTTATTATTTGTTGATTTGTATAGAAGTTAATTGATTCTTTAACTTCCAGCACCACCTTCATCTATTGCCATCTCCCAACATCCTAATGGAAGTATAGTAGAAATACTCGAAGGCGTGACACTTACACTAAAATGCATGGTAGCTGGTGGAAAACCAGCAGCTGGGATAAAATGGTTTAGGAAAAATGTAGAACTCAGACCAGGTTAGTATCGAACATTAGTTATATAGTTATACTTAAAGTTTTCTTTAATTTGATAGAAACTATTGTGCAACCACGTTCCTATGTGTAAAATTAAAAAAAAAATTTTTTTTAAATAAAATGCTGCATAGTATATAATACGTGAGTAATTTTTGAAGTAATTATTTTAAGTCTAGTCATCTCCTTTTTTGCAAAAGAAAAACTATTAATGGTAATCTTAGATATGTTATGAATACCTTCTTTTCCTGTTTATAACCAACAGAGTATAATTTGAACTTAAATACATTAAACATCGATTAGCGTTAGTCAATATTTAAGTATAACAATTTATGAAAAAGGAGGAACAATAGAACTATAAAATAAAACTTTAAGATTTCACGTTGAAAATAATACCTAGAAAACTAGCATATACATGCTTCATGGGAAAGTATTTATTGCAGGGAAGGGTGCAAAAATGCATTTTTCGTCAATACCCTGGGTTTAATATACAAAACAATACCAATAATATATTATTTTATTCGCAAGTGGAGTATTTACGAAGTCTCTATACAGTGTATATAAGTTTGTATATGATAGAGGTTTTATCTCTCTAATTTTCGCATCTTAATATTCCTACTTAATTTTCTTCGTTATACTTGATTTAAACATATCTTTTGTAATGATTATGCAACATTTTTGTATGAATTTGAAATAAAAACTTTGCAAAAATGCATTTTAAACTCTGCTTTTCCGAAGGAGAAGCTGCTGCAATCATGTCTTATAATTTCTTTAAATCATTTCATGCTGAACCATAGTTTCGTAACTTTGATGCAAAACATAATCTGTTATCGTATGCAATTTTTAGTTTGAACTACACTAATCATGGTACTAATTATGATTGTTCTCTTTTTTTAATCGAATACTTACCGGTACGGCTCAGGTTAATATAATTTGAAGAATAAAGTTAAATTTAGGTCTACATTAGCAATTTCTAGTTGTACGTTAAAGTAAAAAATTATTTCCAGTCAATCCACTTGTGGATCATTTTAAATATATATATGGTTAAATTCGACCCCTTTCTTAAGGTTGCATCAAGTTTGCACCGAATAGTTGTTCTTGGTGCCAATATTAAGTTCCAGTATTATTCCAATTTTTTAGAATGTAACAAAGCTGTGGTACCAAAACCAAATTCTTAAAAACTATGATAGTTTACTANCAGTGTCTACAGAATATTTTCATTATTTTTGACCTTTTGAAAATACTTTTTTAACCCAAATTCATTAGATGGTAGCAGTGATGATTATATCGTTTTAATTATATTATTTAAAACAATTACTTAGTTAAATTAGCTGACTCAGCTTAAACTAGTTAGTTCACCTAAAAATTATGAAAAAAACTGAGGACCTATATCATATTTACATGTTTTAGGTGCCATTTGTAATATGGATAATGAATTCATCCATACAATTTCCTTTTAGTACAGTAACGAAAAAAAGCAACAACAAAAAAACTATAGCTTTTCTGCAGGTGCTATTAGAAATATTGGAGCATAAATTAAACCACAATATCAAATATGGTGCAAGTAAAACTATATTATGATACCTCTTATACTTGATTCCATGGTACTGTGGATCATTTTAAATATATATATGGTTAAATTCGACCCCTTTGTTAAGGTTGCATCAAGTTTGCACCGAATAGTTGTTCTTGGTGCCAATATTAAGTTCCAGTATTATTCCAATTTTTTAGAATGTAACAAAGCTGTGGTACCAAAACCAAATTCTTAAAAACTATGATAGTTTACTATTGCGCCGTGTAGAGATTGGATCTATATTACATATAAAAGAGTACAGTTAATATTAGTTGCGAGTAAACAGTCACTAATCGTAACTTAGCTTGTTTCTCGTCATTTATATCAATGCAAAATAAATAATTTAGGCAGCTTATTTTGAAGGCGAATGGCTTTAACATAAATTCAGGAACAGAAAACAAAAGTAGACGCTAAACTCTACAGTTACGCAACCACTTAGTTTAATCTAGTTAAATACCCCCTCCTAAAAAACAGCAATAAAAATGAGCACCTCTTTTTTACATCTATATAGTCCATCTTCTAGTTTGGATAACAAATTCAAGTCAGATACTTTCCTATCAGCACACTGACAATAAAACAACAACGAAAGACTATAACCTGGGCGCAGACTGGCCAGGTTTTGGGCCCGGAGACAAATTCTCACGATCAACCCTACTTACATACATATATCTATCACTTTTAACCATTTTTTCCCACGGTACATTTCTTCATCAACCATGTGAACAAAATAAAACTGGTTCGGAAGAAACAAGGACCTTGTACAAGGACGAAAAATTAAAAATAAAAATGGCGGCTTTGGTGCACTAAAACAACATGTAGCGTCTTCTGATAAATCTTCTAACTCTAAAGAGTTCAATATCTTGTTAGAAGCCTTGTTTGGTATTCCATCCGCAAACTTTAATAGGGTGGGTATTAGTTGGAGATAAATGCCGGTTGCTTAAATGTTCTTTTTAGAAAGTTGAATCTATCATGCGCAATCATTGGATAACAGAAAATCATTTTTTTATTCTTATTACCACGGAGATTTTTTTTTTCAAATAAATATTTTTTTTCATTTTCCCACGATCCGTTATCGTAAATGTGGTAAATACTTTAAAGGTGCCTCAATGTCTTTTCCAAATATGTACCTTAAAATTTTTATATTTTTGTTTATTTGTTTTTTAATGAGTTAAATGTTTTAATGTTTCATGCAATTTTAATTTGGTTTATTATTTGTGTAAGCTTTTGACGCATATCGTATACCAGTGTTCCCATAGGCATAGTGTGAGGGGGCATACTTTTTTTAGAGAACTGTTCATTTATTTTATATTTTATGTATATATGCACATTTAGTTTTTATGTGTACATATATTTATTTACAAATGTATGCATAAAACTTGATCTCTGCAATTTCATGTACATATGTTTATTTAGTTTTTATATGTACGTATATTTATAAGGATAGGTATGTATAAAACTTAAAATGGACGAGCAGTTTATAAACAATGTGTGCTCCCACTCTATGCCTCACGCTATGCCTATGGGTGTCCCTTTTCAATACTTTTTTCTGAGTATCTAACAAAGAACAAAAATATTTTTTTTTTAATATTTTAATTAAAAAAACAGTCAAAAAGTTGCTAAAAATTGTTAGACTACTTGAATTACATTTGCATTAAAATAAAACTAATTCAAAAGAAGTATCTAAACTTTTTCTTTCATTCATATTCAACACATTATCAATAATTGATTTTGTAAATTAAGGAAATTTCAACGATGACAAATTGCTTCTCTTATGTCTAAATGCAAATTTGAAAATTACTGTTTAGAATTGAGCAGTTTTTTGGAAGATTTTACCATTAACACAGGGCACTGCCTCGTTTTTTCATGCTGTATTTTAAAATCATAAATCATTAGAATGATTAATATATTCTGCTTAATATATTCTAATAAGAATTCTACGTCAAAGGGTTAATGTTATTCAATATCAATTATTTAAATCTCATAACTTTCAAATTTACTTGTTTCATCAGTAAATTATATGGCTTTTTATGTAATAAAAATGTATAATAAAGATTTTCTTTGTCACTCATCTATAGAAATCAATCGTGATTTTAAGACCAAAAACTGATAAATCTTATCTATTAAATATCATATTCTAACATCGACTGAGCACATGCAAAGGCATATGTGATAAAATATTAGCTGATATAAAAGACCACGGATTTCATTAAGTTTGAATTGTTTGTCCTGATTTCGAGTCTGAGGATGTTTTATTAGATAACTACGAATAATCCGATTGGTATTTAATGTGTTCTACTTTCTGACACATATCTTTGTTAAGTTTATGGTTATTTCTAGTTTTTTCACACTTGTATTTCGGGAATAAACACGTATTTATATCAAAATGTTACGTTTCGTTTTTTCTTTGTAATAAGAAAGTTTAAAATATTATTTTTGATATTTTCAGAAAATCTGCCAGTTTATTTCTATGCAATTAAGTAATGTAAAGCTAATTCAAACGTTTAATAAAATAAAATACATAAAATAATATCAATTACATATCTAAATTTTGATTTTGAAAATATTACTAAAAACTGTTTATTTTAGCTATGTGATGTGAACAAAGCTTGATCGTAGGTTTGCTTACCTCTATGTTGAAAATATTCGTTAAAAAGATTTCATATGTATTTATTTATAGATAACAAATTGTCAGCATTTATGACATAATGTTAAATAAAAATTGCTTTTTTATCTCATAAGAACTTACCCAAAATGTTTATTTTAATACGATAATTGTGTGTGATGAATATATCACACACAATTCGGTTACAGCATGTACTGTACTGACATATTTGATTTCACATTTACAGGGAAATTTATAGAATATAATTTTATCATTGGAACTTCAATGTTGATTCTAGCTTTCAACAGACATTAAGTAAATAAATGCAGGAAATATGTTTGATCTGGCATTTTATAGAGTTATAAAGTATAAATGCATAATTATCAACTAAAAGTATTGAAATACATGCAATAGAGCTTGTTTAAGTAAACAGTTGAATATTAATTAATTCTGTATTACGGGTTACAATAATATTCCAGATTGACACTTTCCATTTGACTTAATACTGCACGTGTGATATTCAGGAATTGAGATTAATTCTACAACTGTGTTTCATGAATCATTTTGAATGGAATTCAACGCGTTACACAGAATTTCCATCAGAAGACACTGTTGTCCATATTACTGTTGGAATTACAGAGCTAATTTGCAGTTTTAAACTATTGGAGAGTGTTCTCAGCATGTATATATTTTTTTTCTAAGTTTTTGCTTTACTTTTTTTGAAAAAAAAAGTTTCATTCAGGGTATAAAATTCATAAATTGTATATAATAAACACGATCTATTATATATATTGTATAGAATATATATTACACATAAATATTACATATAATATATATTATCAAACGTTTATATTCATAGCTTTAATGTTAGTTTTACTTTGAAAGAAAATATATTTTCTTAATATATATATTTTTTAAATAGTAATTGTTAGACGTATTAAAAATCTGTGCTAAAAATATCATTTTCAAAACCATTATTTTTTAGGAAATTACTGGTTAATTTTTCTTTATAAAATAAAAATTGTAATTAATAATTTTATATAATAAAATAATAATTTTTTCACATTAATAAAATAGTCCATAGCAAGGAAAAATGTGAAAAAAGTTACTAGGATTGAGAAACGATCGCAGATTTGAAATCAGTGACGTGAACATATCCAAGATCCGCTAAAAAAAAAACTCATGCAAAATGAAACAAAACAAGAAAAAAGTGATCCCCAATATAATCTTTGCATTTCCAGTTATATATTACTTTTAATTTGTCTGCATAACATTGTTTTTAACGTTCAAAATAGATAATCAAGCATAAATACCGAAAAAAATAAAGATAAATTTTTATAATATTATATCCATTTCGATAAGCTTATCATCATCATTATCTTGATAGTTATTTATTATTATTTTCAAATCGTAAAAATTTTTAAGATGTAATTTTTAAGAATTAAATTTTCAGATAACAATAAATTTCATGCAATGCAATTTCCTCACGAAACTTAATTTATGAAAATATTGTGAGAAGTTAAAAAAGTGTTTTTTTTTTATATAAAATACATCTCTTTTATTTTTTTGTTTTGTTAATCACACGATATGAGTTATCACATTGTGAATAAGCAATAGTATATTATATCCAAAAATTCACTTGCATAACTTATTAAAGAGCTACACATATTTAACATCAAATGAAAGTAAACGATTAAGATTCTATTATTAAATGAAAAAGCTTCAGAAGAGTCAAATTTTATAAGCATTTATTTTGCGTGATTGTAGTTACGTCGATTATTCAAAATAAATGATAAATGGAAATCCTGGAGAAAGGAGTAAAGCTCATAAAAGAGTAATAATTCATTTAATTGTATTACATATAGAACTTCTTTATGAGCCTCAAATCAAAATATGTGGTAATTTAATGTTAAGTTCTGTGTCGAATTGCTTCGTACAAATCTTCACATTTATTTCCTGTTTTAATTTTGTTTTTTTTTACCTTTATTGTTTTACCTCTGAAAATGAGGCAAATAGATCCATTTTAAAGAAACAATTTAAAAAATTAGTTCTATTGCTAAAATGCACGTGGTGGTACTATGACCTTGAGAGCTTTTTCAAATTTTAAAACCATGCTGCATTACGTAGTCTTGCGAAAGCAGTAAATGAAAACTTGATTGGTTAAACCAATCAAAGGATACAAATGGACAAAAAATAGCGAAGGGAACTTTTTCTTTGATAATAACAAGTAAATTTAATAGTTGATATCAGAGCTGTCGTAAACAATTATATCATACATCTTTGAAACGTCAAAAAACTCAATAAATCTAAGAGAATGGATTGTCAATGTTTTGCTGTTTAACCTTCTAGTGGTCACAGTGCTTAATACCTGGTGAGCATTTTTAACATTATCCTGCTCTACCATATGATTCCAATCACTGTTTGTGATAAAATTAGATGTTGATAATGGACTTTAAAATGTAATAAACCTAATGTACGTGTAGCGTACATATTTTTACTCTACTTACACATAATGTATGATATACTTTTGTAACATTCCTTACATAATTCATTTTTTATTTAAAAGGAAAAATTATAAAATTGAAAAATAATCTCGCGTGGTATCTTTCACAATGCAATGAACTGCTGAGATTAAATTAACTTACTGGAAAACTGCATTGAGTAGTCATACGATGGAAAACTTTTCCCAAAAATCTTGATATAATTATTATTTTCGATCTTAACTTTAATTTTTTTTAAAAATTGCTTTATCGCTAGAAATCATAATCTGAACATATTTTCCGAGTGAGCGACGTGACCTGTAACAAAGGCCCGAAAAGCACGCCAATGTTTATCCGATGCAAATCTCAAGCATGGAGTAAACAATTACTAGCTTCTTGAAGGAGTTATCGTGCTTATGAAAGTGTTATATTTCCTGCCAAAATAAACGTGATCTCTCATACTCATCAAATAATTGAAAGAATAAATTGAAAGAATAGACAGATTTCTCAGCATAGACCTTGCTTTCAGCTTTCCAAATGGCGTGACTATTGTTTAATACAGCAGTCACACGCAAGATACTTAAGTAAAAGCTGCATCACGAAAACCGGATTAAACATGCCGGACTGATTCTTAGCACGATTTCCCGGACTTAGGCTTATTGCACTCCTTTGCTTAATAGATTTATCATATTTTTACTTTGAGAACATTGCAGAATTATTACTTAAAATGAATACTTTATTAGAAAATATAGCTACTTTATTTTCGAACATTTAAAAAAAAATGTATACAAATTTAATGCTTTGATTGTTTTCGTAAGAACACGTATAAACTAAGAGTTGATACTCAAGTAAGATTTTGTCTGCATTCAATTTCTTATTCTTCTAAAAAATGTGTGAAATATATTATTTAGTTTTACTGCACTTCTTAGAGTTAAATATTTCCTAGATATATTGCATAGCTAGAACATTGCAGATCCCATTAAGTTTGTTTTAAATACGGAAGAATATGAAAGCATAAATTACTTGACGATTATGATTTTTGCAGCTTTTATTCAGATAGCTTTTGACAGGGAATATAGATATGATAACTTAATTAGCACTGAATGTGTTAGCTAAACTAATGCTAGCATTAGTTAAATAATTGTTTTAATTTTTAGATGAGAAATTACATCGATGAACGGTTATGAATCTTACTTAGGTTGTCTTGGCAATTATGATATTATTCTAACTTCTGACATTTTTTTTCTTGATAAGATGCAAAATTGCTGTAGAAAACATTTACTATTCTATGCATGGGCTAGGATAGCCTTGCTGGTAGAGCATTGGGCCCATTTCTAAGAAGTCGTGAGTTCAATCCTAGTGTAGTAATGACTGCAACACGTTAAATATGTCGAGTCAAAAAGCCTTTGCGTTCTTTCGAGTCTTTGCGTTCCCCTAACTAATCATACCTCTGGGTGTAATGAATTGGAGATTCATCGTTCTCTGGTTCATGTCAAAATTACGAATTGAATGAATCGATGCATGATTGGGCCCACCCTGTGTGTGGCTTACGTCATATTCTTTGCCATAGATGGCGCCACTGAAAAAAACAAGAAACGCTCTCTCTGCCTTAAATTCGCTTAGATTCACCAATCAGGCCTTCTGGTATTGGCTAGTGGCATTAGAAACAACAACATCAACACTATTCCATGTATATCATGCATAAGAGATATTGCAGAAAATACTCGACGATCCATTTTTGCAATATCTACTAGCTTATCTAAGATTATTTTTATACAAACACGTTTTTATATACTATGGCTTTATTATTTTTACTCATTGTAAGGCTTACGCAAGGGGCAAAGATAATATATAAATATATTCTGTTTACCTATATAATGTAAGATAGTGCACAATCCCTCTCTTCAATCACTTTCATAAACGTCATAACCTAATCTCAACCTTTAACATAAATCTTTATAATTTTCGTCGAAGGAATATTCAGCCAAAAAAAACAGAAAATCAATATTTTTCATGAAAAAAAAAAATTATTTAAATTGGATGCAGCTTTATTGAACTGGAATATTTACAAGGATCAAAGTAGCTTGATTGCCAGAGAAACTAAAATGTAATTATAATAATTATTATAGTTTCGTGATGCAAAAAAAAATAAATAAAATGAAGCAATAGTTTCTTATTTTACTTTTTTTCAGCAATAAAACAAGTTGTGGTTAAAATATTTTTTTATCTATCTTCAAAGTAAATAATTAAAATATTAAATGTTAAATATTACAATGTTCACATTACCTAAATATGCAAAGCTGTAGTTATAAATATTATTCTAATTAACATTTATATCTCATAACTAACTTGAGCGCTTGTTCCTGATATTAAGCTATCTGTAATTGTGGACCCTGTATATTTTCATTTTGCGCTAAAGTGTAATAGCACATTACCTAAAGTACAATATATACATCACGATGCAACGTAATTTAAAGTACATTATATGCATCACAATGTAAAGTAAAATATATACATCAAATGTACTTTAATTGAAAGTTGTGTTATAAATATTTTTCAAATTAAATTTATGTCTTATAATTAATTTGAGCATATACTCTTGACATTAGGTTATTTGGAATTTGTTTGTCAATTAACTAATTAACATATACTTTTTAATATTCTATATTCACTAAAAATATACATTTATGTTTTATTTATAGTATTGATCATTTATTTCCAGATAATGTTTTATATAATACTGAAAAAATAGACGAACATAAAGAAACTGCAATTAGTACCATAACTCTAACTCCTACGCCGGATGACAATGGAGCTTTATACAGTTGTGAAGCTGTGCACAAAGCTTTAAGCTCACCAATGGCATCATTCATCGAACTAAGTGTGCTTTGTAAGTATATGCAGCAATTACTATTTGATATAAATGGCTGTGTATATTAGTCAAATATATTAAATGTAGCAGATACGCTGTCTTCACCAGGTAAAAAATAAGTTTTTAATACTGCTAAGTTAATAATAATAAGTTTATAATAATAAGTAATCAAAATAAGTTTTTAATATTGAGGACTCTCACATACTGATTATTTATATGATTATTATAAGGTAATGTTATCTTTTTAAAAGGTTTAAGTGTTTGCATTTGTTTAATTAGCTTTTTAAAGTATTATGAGAGCAGAAAGTTAAACCAGGTAGAGATTTAAGCATCTATTTAAAAAGAAATATGTTAAAAAAACTTGCATTTTAGAAATGCGCAGGAGTGTAAATTATCCAAGAAATTCGTTTTTTTTTTGTGCATTAATGTTCGTGAACTGAAGAATAAAGAATTTATCGTACAGTTATATCAGTCGTGAAAACCCCTATATGACGCTTCTCGTTACTTAGTGTACACTATATATAAATGAGTGGGTATATATATATATATATATATATATATATACACGGGGATGACATTGAGTTGGCTAATTAATTTTTAATTTGTGTAGAGGATGTTNATAATGTAGGATAGCAGGAATGATAAATAATATCCTTTATATTTTATTGAGTTTAAAGTAATATTGAAGTAAATGCCTTTAAAAAGAGCCCATAAAATATTTTACTGCAATATAAGTCACAGAGCAATGCTCTCAATATTATTCTATAATATTTAAAATTAGAAAAGAAAAATGCACTAATTATAAAATGTTGGAATAAAATTTTTTATTAGACATGACAGACTTAAATGTGCATCTTAGTTAAACTATTGATGTTAATCAATATTTATTGTCAATTGGCATTTGTATACCATGCTTTGCAACTAATTCATCAAAATTCATATATTAAGTAGGTCACGTTTAGCTTGACTAAAGCTTATTTCTATTAATTTAATGTTCACCAGATCATCCTAAACAATGTCTAAAACAATCCTATCAAAATAGATATCTCTTTCATAGCTTAATAGGGAGTGGGAACTCATTACAATTAAGCCAACTAGCCACAATTGTGCATCTATGTACACGCAGCAATTGATTTTAGGCACAGGCCTACCTGGTAAAGAACTTGTAGCAGAGAAAGGGGGAAAGCAATTCGATTGCAAAATCTATTCGGCAGGGTTCGATACCTAGTTAGAAGTGAAAAGCTGGATCGTGTAATTGGAATGCTTCGTTCATTAAAGCGTTATCCCGCCGTTCATTCGCACCTTTATACAAAAGCCTGATTTGGGATAAAAGGACTGAGACGAGATGCAGGTTTTAATTATTTTTAGACCCCTGTCTAAGGCTTTTGTTGGAACCTGCCGGTGTTGAGAATCTAATGAAACGAAGAAAAAGCTCGGTAGGAATCTTTTTCCTTTTTTTTTAATCTACTCCTCTTTCCCGCCAAACCCTTTCATTATCAGTCTTTTTTAGAGAGTTCTGGTAGTGAAAGTTTGGAAGATTAATGTTGTTTTCTCTTCCACAGAATCAAGGCCGTTTTAGTTCCCCGAAATATTATGAGATCGTTGGTGCTATCAAACGCAGTTGGTGTGTCGCGAAGACGATAGAAAAATGGTTATATCGCGTGTTAGAATATAACTTGAGGAATTAGGCTCTATAGTTTGTAAAAAATTTTCTAAGGAAGTATTGAAAAGTTAGTTTAAGGTTTTTCTAAAATGTTTTAGACTCCTGATAAAGATTGTAATTAGATAAAAACTGGAAGAAAAAAACCATAAATATGGATAATAAATAGTGAATAAAATGTTTTTGGGATGATAATTTTTTTTTTGAAGATTGACAAATTTCTTTATAAATTGAAAAGAAAGCAACATGAGCTTTCTTGTCATTATTTACAACAATTTTCGCTTAAAAATTTAGAAATTTTTATGCTTCGTGTTGTATTAAATATTTTTCTGAAAGATGAAATAAAAAGTGGTTTTACTATTTTTAGTATTGTTAAATGTTCGAATTCTATTGTTTTCTTGTTGATACGAATTCTGCTCCAGCTGGTACCGATCTCAGTACTAGACGGATCACGGATTAGAATCTTTTTGCCGTCTGGAGTTTTTTGTGGTTTTCCTCGTAATGCGTATCCATATAGCTCAAATGAGGGATAGTTTCATCAAAAAGTCCTACACAAAGGAGAATTTATCCAGATGATAGACCCAGGAATTTCTTTGTCTTCTGGGTTGCTTTTAAAATCACAAAGCAACGTGGTTGAACATTGTTATTTCGTAAATTCAGAATTAGGTAGACTGTTCAACGCCGGTTATAAAATAAAAATATATAACAAAAATTATATTTTTACCAAACAATAATATTTATTATGTAATCTTTATTGTTTGTTAAAGATAATGCTTCATAGCATAAATGTTTCTATTTATTAGCAGTCATCATTCCATAATTGAGAAGTTAGGAAACTAAAAATTCAAAATCTTGAATAAAATGTATCAAGTTGTGTGAATTTTCAAAAATAAATCCAAGAAAAGTTTAAAAACATATTTAATAGAAATTAATTTTGTAATTATAAGCAATCTTTGATACATTTTTATTCCTTTAACCCTTTGTTTAGATCATAAAAGTTTAAAAAAAATAACAAAGCATTTCTTTCTCTTTCTTTTTCAGTTCCTCCTGGTCCTCCAGAAATCGAAGGATATCAAGAAGGTGAGACAGTTAGAATGGGAGACACATTAACTTTAGCATGTGTTTCACGAGGAGGCAACCCATTGGCTAAATTGGTTTGGTTTCGAAATGACCAGCAAGTAGACCTCACGTATACCACAACTGGCCGCGAATCAACAAATACTTTAACCTTCCCAGTTGAGTCGAATGATAACAACGCCATCTACCGATGTGAAGCAACAAACTCTATAAGCCCTAAGCCTATGATTGCGATGGTTAAACTAACTGTTCAATGTAAGTGTATTTCTAAAGAAATACTTTTTTCGATTTTCTGTAATAATCTAATGGAGAGAACTGAGCTTATCTTTTGCTGTGATCACGATTTACTGTAATATTTGTTAAGAAAAGAAACGAAAAATCTTCATACATGGCAAAGGAAAATTTCAGTGAGGAAAATAAAAGAATTATTTGAAAAAAAAATTATAAAATACAGATTTTAATTATCAAAATAAGGATACCATGTCTTGATGTTTTTTAACCTTTTATGAGTTTAATTGAGAAATTAGAAGTCAAGTCTCGTTGCCGAGCACTATTTCTCTAATACAGCAGAAAACCAGATTGCTAAATGGGAAAGCAACCATGTTCTACCCTGAAATAAGTTTGAATAGGATAGATAAATGATTTTTTCCCTTTTTAGTCGTAAATTTAAAAGCAATAAAAGAAAGACTATTTTTTTTTCCATTTATGTTTTCAAAATTCTGGAACATTTATTTTTATTACTAAATGTCTCTTATGATATGGTATTTAATATTAAAAAAGTAGTTTTAATTTATTTGTGCAGTAAAGCATATTTCCTTCAAATAAAGTGAAGTTTTCTTTATATGTATGCTACAAATATCTTTTTTCATGTTTCGAAATATGTGTGAGGTCTTGCATTATTGTGTTGGAACATGATTCCTTCGTTATTTGTGGAACATACAATTTCGAACTTCATTACGAGATATGATTGTTTTTTAATTAATAGATTTTTAAAAGAAAAAATTTAATATAAAATTCAATTTCCTTCTTTTTAAAAATGTATTGATGAAAACATTTACTGCTAGAACCAACATTTTAATAACTATAAGAACTTCAAAATGTATTTGCTGCGTGTTAAAGAGTTTCCCTTTTACTTCAGTTAATCCAAGTAAAGTGACAATTATTGGACCAAAAGAAGCTCAAGAGGGTGATGCTGTGACAATGACGTGCACAACTGACAGAAGCAATCCGCCAGCAGATGTGTCATGGGTAGTTGATGGAAGACCAGTTCAAGCAGCGAGTAGTAGTGTTGCGGATCCTAGAGGAGGATGGATAACTACCTCAAATGTCACAGTTACTATTACTGGTCATGTAAGTATTGTTTATTTTAAGTAAATTGGTTTCGAAAATCATAATTTTTTATGAATTAATTTTACTTTTATATTTATTTGTTATGCTTTTATTGCAATTTTATTTTGTTTATTTTCTATACTTTAAATCCTCGTATACTACTTGCGCTTAATTTTTCTCATTCCATATCGTTTGAATTTTCTCGCTCCCAGCACATGACAAATTCTTTCCTATTTCATAAACCATTTCTGTTACAGTTATTTAATTTCTGTCATTCATGTACGTATTAATTATTTCCTTTTTTTCATTCCAAATACATTACAATTACTTCATTTTTTTCCATATGCTTTTTTATATCCCGTGTTTGTAATAATTATTTTATTCGTACCATACGTTACAATTATAGCGTGTCTAATTAAAAATAAAAAAAAGAAAAAAAAACACCTATTCTCATGCAAATTATGTAATTTATATATTGTTAATCAAATGAAAATAATCATGTACGAGAAAGGAATGTAAGAAATGTCAAAATAAAAGAAAGTCAAAAGTTCTGTAAAAGACGATGTGTTACTACTAGAATGATACTACTATTAATTATATTCAACTACGAATATTTCTTCGATTGATGAACGTTAGGAAATTGCTACTAATTCTTTGATACAAATGAAGAATACAACTAACAAAAATAAATTTCGTGTTAACTGTAGAAATTAAAATGTAGCATATTTATTCTCTTATGGAAAATGTTGTTTATTAATTTATCAGTCGAATAACAAAATCATTTACGAGTAAGGAAGTTAAGGAGTTAAAGAATAATTAAAACACATGTTCTAAAAAAGAAATTTACATCTTGAATCTTTCTACCATTAATCAGGGTTCTTTAAGAGCTATTAATTAGTTTACTAATTCTTCGTTGTATAATCTTTCACAACTACCTAAAATAAATTTATTGAAAGTTAAATATTACAATTTAAATGCTTCCTAACACTTTTGCAAATATATGTTTAAAAAAATCTTCTGCTCCTTGAAGCAGGCAATATTCGATAATGCTTTCCTACTAGTCTCCAGGGTCAGCTAATTGCTACAACAGAAAGTCTTATTGCCATCTCATTTAAAAGGCCCGCTATGTATCACGCATGAGAAAGCATCTGTGATAACAGATCGATAAATTGATTAAAAGTTTGCCTTGCCTTCTCCCTATTCGCATGGCATAACAGAATCTTCTATATTTATCTATCTGTTCGTGTTGCGGGACATTTTATTTGTTTATCAAAGCAATTGCATTGCTCTTTATAGGAATCTAGTTAATGCTACAAAAAACAAAATATGACTAATTGCATTATTTTATTAAACATAGTTTTTGGCTATATTAATTGCTTGTTCTTGACTCTACAACAATTTATAGCTAGTCGTTAATTAGTTTAACGCAAAGTTAGGGCTCTTGGCAAATTCATTTTGTTGTTTTGAACATTGTATTATTTGGATTTAAATAAAAAATAAATATGGAGACAGTATAATGCTGTTGTTTTTTAAGACACTTGGACAAGTCAGGCTCACCAGCCATAGGCGTTTTGAGAATTAAGTCAGAAAGGGGCATTTTTCGTTTGATATGAGAGCACCGCAAAGGTGAAAGAACGTCTTAGCTCAGAACCACGTGGACAAATTGCTGCACCACTCAATCGTGAGACCACTTTTTTAAGTTAGACATAGATCTGAAGAGAAGGGGATTTTCTCTAAATCCCACTTATGGTACTGATAGCGACCGATCACATTTTTTACGAGCCCGTATATCACGTGTACTCGGTTTGGCATAGTGGAGTATAGGATCGAACCGCTGACTTTAAAGTAATATTTAATGGGGAATTTAAAATGTGAGCAATCAGTGTAAAAGTTTTTAAGCTTATTTTTACTAGCTTGTATTCAAATGAATATATGGTATACCCTGGACTACAGATGGGCACAGGATATTACATCAAGCAAAACGATGCGAATAAAGCACAGTTTAGAGGCATATTATAGTTGCAGTTTCATAAACAAGAACCTTACACATCGTGGAGAAATTAAGGAAATAAGTCTCAATAAGCAAAAAGGAGTTTAATCAGTTGGATAGGAGAAACAAGATTAAAGATAATAAAAGAAGGGAGGTAAGGGTCTGAGGAAGGTGTGTAGGAGTACCAGGATTCAAAAATTTCCCAACTACATCACACCTGTTTCTTACCCATCTTCTTTTATATATTCTTCAAGTTTGTTACTTTTCCATTGCCATTTTGGTATTTAGACACTGAGGTAGACTCTCGTTTAAAGAACCCAAGCTATAGTACATCTGTTTCTGCTCCTTTATTTGTGTTTTAATCAATAAATCATAGTTTAGATTTTTTTAACATAATTGACATCAATAGTGAAATAAAAGATCCTGCCTATCCATAAAACTATTGTTTAGTCATCCTTTTAGGCATGTTTATTCTGATGTTTTTAAATAAATCTCGTTATATTTAAGTAAGTTTTAAAACACGTTTAAGGAGTTGAAATCTAAATTATAAAATTTATTTTTTGTTTTAAAGTTCTGAAAGCGTATTCTTTTCTCTTATTTACATCTTAATATTTTAATAAAGTTCAGATCTCAATTTTAATAAATTACTCCAATGACTTTCAAAAAGGTCGATGCATTTAAAAAAAAAGGTTTTTTTTCTCAAAGTTTCAAGTTCTTTTAACTTCCTTTTCATTTTTTGATTGCGCAATATTGGGAATTTTTTTTAAAAATATAAACCAATAAAAAACGATACATTTCACAATAAAACCTTCTAGCAAAAAATCAACGAAACAAGCTCAGAATTTTTTTTCCCAAAATTCTTTTATTTCTCGAACTTTTTTCGACTTATAAGTTTATCTAGATTTCATTAAGTGCTTTAACTGGTTTCGTCAATTTTATTGAAAAAAAAATTCTTCTTTATTAAACTTTTTCTCCATCAACCAAACAAATAAAATCCGTTCCGTGAATTTTTCTATTCACCTAAAGGAATCTATTCACACTATGGCGGGACTCCTTTCTTTCAACAAACCTTCTAATTTAATCCTCCTTTTCGCAGATGTTTTCAACTTCTTATAATTCATTTTATTTCCAAGATTTAATGGTTGAGTGTATCTAAAATGGGTTGAAAGAATTAAAAGAAAGAAAACCAAATCTAAATTGAAGAGGAGAAAACGTTTTAATCAGTTTGTTACTTTTTGGACGGTTATGGAATTATGGAAAAATATGATTTTTAAAAGCTTCTTATTCTTTGATTGAATTCATTTTAAACTTTTGAAATATAACCTTTCATTTACATTAAATTTAGGAAATTTAATGCATGGAAACTGAAAAAATAATTTTTTTCTTTTTGTGTATTGATCATATTTTATGTATAGAAATTATTTTTTTTATAATATTTTTAGTAACTTTTCTCTTATTCGATTTTAAAAATGTTAGAATGTTACTTTGTATTTTTTTATCCTTTTTATATAATTAAAAGCATCGGTAAGTAATAACGCGAAAATAAGATATTTAATCTATTTTCCAGATTATATTTCATAAATGTTTCGAAGTAAAATTTATTGAATATAAAGTTCTAGACTATTATATTTCTCTTTATTTATATTTAAATTTTTATATTGTTAACAATGACTGTAAATTTTTAATTTTTAAGTGCCCGTCTGGACAATCCTTATTATTTGTCATAAGCTCCTTATTTTCACCATTATCATTTACCATTTACACTTTACTATCAGCATTTTACGCCTTTATTTATCCATTGCTGGATGATAGTATTTTACAAAATTTTACAAAAAAATTCGGTAGACCACTCTTTGTTTCCAATTCCCACACATTCATTTCAAAAACCATTATATTACCTTGTTTAATGCAACTTTCTTATTCTTGATGCCATGTCAAATTTTATTAGGAATGCTCTTTGATTGATAATATAGCACAAAAATGATTATATAGTCTTCCTATTCGAAAATTGTTCCCTTCATCATACAAGATAAAAAGTATTAGACTGTTTGAATATATGTTAAATCCTTTATTTCCATTTGGTAAATATTTCTCAAGAACTGTGGGGAAATGCCTTTATTTAATTTTATAAAATTAAAGACCTAGATATTCGTCTTAAAAATTTTTTCAAAATTCAGGGAAGTAATTTAACACTTTTCAAATAAAGTTTAAGAGTAATTTCTTTTAGTAATTAAGTAATATACGAAATTTATAATTAATGCAAAAAATTTAAAATTAGGGCATTAGTTGAATAAATACGTTTTTAATGCATTTTTTATTAATTCAGTAGTTTATTTTAACTTTAGCTTATTCATGAAATTTGAAAAGCAATGTCTTTTAATCTCTGTACAGGAGAGAAATATGAAAATGTTTTCCTGTTATGCTGTAAATCAAGCTCTAAGTGAAACAATGGTGGAAACTACAGTTGTTAGTGTGCTATGTAAGTATATTTTTCTTACTGCCTTAAAAAAAACTTTTATTTGTATATTGTTATTAAATTATAATAACTCAAAAAGGAATGATAAAAAATGAAAAATGAAAAAAAATTGATTGTTGAAAAATGTGCAATTTATATTAAACCGGACATTACATTCACACCTGCCAAGTCTTGAGAATGTATGCCTGCTTTTGAGCACTTGAAAATTGTCAATATTTAGCGTCATCTTACTTTTTTGAAGCCAATGAAATTTGCAATATGCATGTTCGTAATATGTCAACTTATTAAGAGAACATAAAAGCATGTATAGTGTTGTAATTTAAAGCATTAGAATCATGCAGTCCATTGAATATTTAAACTATGTATAGTATGTATAGTTTGCTTTATTATTTCAAATGTTATATACCTAGCCAGGCTTGTCTTTTGGCATTGTATAGAATTTCAGAATTCAATTTTATGCAATTTTTATATTGTTTAAATAAAATATTTTAATTACGTACTTTGTAATATATTTGCATTATTTAAAATATTTCATTTATTATACCAATCGAATTTTAGGCAGCTTTATTTATTACCTAAGTAATCTATGGAATGAATAAATTTTCTTTATTGTCTGTTATATGTACATGATTATATATACTAAATATTATGATTTATTTCATCAATTCGATTTCAGACCGTCTATACATTTCAAAATAATATCTAATCTATTTGCCTTTAACGTGTTGTTTCTAAGGCCACTTGACAATATCAGCAAGCCTGGTGAAACCAAGTGAATTTAAGGTAGAGGGTGCGTTTCTTGTTTTTCAGTGGGCCCATCTACAATAAGAATACAACTTCAGCCACACACTCGTCATAGCCCGTTTATAGGGTGAACCCATTCGTGTATCCATTCATTCGTCCAAAGATCATAATTTTAAACTGAACCAGAGAACGATCATTCTCCAATTCAGTATTTTCAGATTTATAATTTGTAATGGGAACATGGAGCATGGAGGACTTCGTGGCCATACAGATTTAACGTACACCACTCATCATTTACTACATGGGAGTCATCGGCTGGCTGGGATCAAACCAACGACCTGGACGTGGGCCTAGAGCCCTACCTGCCTGGCTATCCTGGCCTCATACTTCTAATAATAGCTGAATTCTAGACTTTTCATTACATTTACATTATTCAAAAATCTTAATTTTTATTATTTCAATCCAATTATGTATAAAGTGTCTGAATTCTCTTAAAAATGCCTTTTAACCAACAAATTAATTAAAAAAATAATTTTTATTTTCCGAATCAAGTTTTAAGAAATCTATAAACTAACTAAGTTGTCTGTAAAGTATTTGAATTCCCTAAAAATTCATTTTTATACAAACTATTTAAAAATAATAATGTTTATTGTTGTCCCTAAATTTGATAGGCTATTTATAATGCGTCTGAATTCCTTAAAACATGTCATATTATATTCGAATTATGTAAGGAATATATAAATATTTATTTCATACAGATCCTCCTGAACCTCCAACAATTCTTGGTTACACTGAAGGAACTCCAATAGAAACTGGTAAATCTCAGCAAATGGTATGCGCATCTAGAGGAGGTAACCCACTACCGACATTAAGATGGTTTCGTAAAGATAAAGAAGTATGTTAATTTTATATTTTATCATATCTATCAAAAAATTTTAATACCAATGTATAAGATAAAATGAGATAAAAATGAATTAAACATTTTATTACTTGGAAATCAGACTATTCTCTCCAGGTTTTGAGTCATTCATTAACTTACATAAATTAAAATAAAGAAAAAAATTTCCAAAGAATTTTGCTTATAAATTTTATAATTTTTCTTCATTTAATTTCATCATGTTTCAATTTCATTTTTCATATTTATACATGATTTTTCAATATTTGTTCATATTAAGGGGAATCGGTAGGGCATTTACCTATAATGCTAAAACTATCCCTTTTTGATGTACAGTGAGCCAAAAAAAAAGAAAGAAAGAAAAACGAAAGAAAACTCCCTGAATAACTTTTGATCTAAACATTAGATTTTCACTTACTAGGATTCAATCTTAATGGCTGAAACGGGTGCTCTCAAAAAATCTAATTAATTAGTGCAGATGATATTTTAAGCGTCGAAATCGAACTCAAAATTGTAATTTTTCTGAGCAAACATATCATTTTTTCGACAAATTTAGGTTTCAGACTCCCAAAATATAGGGAATAGCCATAATCTGGACAATAGAGTCTCAATAGTTGGTTTTGGAGAGAGCTCTAAAGTTTGAAACCTTTAATGTTAATTTTACTTTTTGCGTTTTTCGCAAAATCAAGAGAGAGTTTTAAAAAAATTATATTCAATCATACAATTCGTTGATGAAGAGATAATTTCTTCCAGAAAAAAAACTTTCAGTAAATATTTATTGTTTTTTATTATTTTAGTTAAAAATGGTTGAAAAAATTTTGAATTGTAAAGTATACAATTTTTGCATCATTTTAAAGAATGTATTTTTACGCGGTAAAATACAAAATTTTAGCGAAATCGGTCAAATTATTCCTAAGAAATCAAATTTTAAAAATATGTTTTATTCAAAAATTTTTTCTCAGGAACTATTCGACTGATTTCGCTGAAATTTTGTTGTCTAAAATTACATTCTTTAAAATAAGGCAAGCAGTTGTATGCCCTACAATTCAAAATTCTTTCGTCGATTCTTTAATGAAATAATAAAAAATAATAACAATCTGCTGGAAAAAAACATTTTTTTGCATTGATTCATCTTTGAATAAATGAATTTTATAATAGAGTGCAATTTTTTTTTCAATTCTCTTAAAAAATTCTCGACATATGCCAAAATACGTAAAAAGTAAAATTAATAATAAGGGTTCGAAACTTTGGAGTACTCTCCTGAAAAAAAAACTATTTGGATCATATTTTCCGTATTGTAGCTACACACTATATTTCGGGGATCAAAAATCCGAATCCATTGTAAAAAATGTATGTTTATTAAAAGAAAGTATGCTTTTGTGATTAGATTCATAGATCCGATTATTAGATCAAAAGTTATTTAGGTTCGACTGTATTTAATTTTGCGCATTTTACATGCATTACACATTAATATGAGTAAAAGTTTCGTATGGTTAAAAAAATCTTTTAAGAGGCGATATCTCCATGATTTTCACACACACATGTAGTATCGAAATATTTAGTTTCGTTGTTTAAAAAAACTGAAAATCTTCCTTGATTTGTGCTAAATTTGATATATATTTCATTCTTATGTTGCATTTTATGCAATAATGGCTCTAATATTTGTTGTAACATTTGTTGCAGATTGAATCTTCAACTACCACAAACAATAACGCTGTCTCATCCGAAGTATCAATTACTGTTGATGCAAATGATAATGGTGTTGAATACCGGTGTGAAGCAACAAATTCAGCATCTGTTCTTCCCATGGTTGCTACAACAAGATTAACAGTCTACTGTGAGTAGTTTATTAGTTTTTTTCTGTTAATTATACAAAATTCAATAATTAAGTATATTTTTTTTTAAATTACGTACTGACGGTAATTTTCAACGATACATTTATTTAAATTAAACGTTAATAGCCAAGTAACTAAATAATTAAGCAATTTTTGATATTATAGGGTTTAGACAGATTCAAACTCTACGGAGGCGCAATGTGAAACGTTAACAAAAAATAACCTTTTTTTATGTTAGGAACGAAAGGCAAATTGGCACTGCTCCTCATCTTCTAAAGTCTTATCTTGCGGGATTCATTTGGCGAAAATCCTATGGGAAGATGAGTCTTTGATTTAATATTGAAAGCAATCGCGGAGATATGGAAGCCATTAGCTTTGTATTATTCTTGGCGTCGTTTTAACAGCGGTCTCTGTGAAATTCAACTTAGCCGAATTTACATTTACTCTGTAAAATTATAAATGCTCATGTAATATGACATGTTTTAAATTTCTCTTTACATTTCAAATTTTATAAATACATTATAAGTACATAAAATACGTAATTGCTTAGAGTTAGTTGAATTCATAGTACACGATTACAGTACAAAATAAATTATTAAAATTAATTAATTACTCACTTTATTCGCAATCGTCTTTTTTTCTTCTTGATATTATGAAATAATGCAAAGCATATTGCTCATAATTAATATAGTTCATAGCACTCAATTAAAAAATAAATATTTATCTTGTCAACAATATTTAATTATATGATAAATTAATTTGTATTAAATTTGCCGTAACAATTTCCGTTCAACTGTATAAACTTAAATTACTAATTACTCAGTAAGACAGTTTGCTACATAACTTTAAAAGATTTTTCCCTTCCTGTATATTTATCATTTCAATATTTATCTCTTAAACTATATAAAATGCCTCACTGAAATAATTAAAGTTTTCAATACTATGTAAAACTGAGCTGTCTACATTCAAACTGCTTTTCTTATCACCAGTCTCGAATTCGACATCCAATAAAATCCTCTTAAATGCAACACCTACATTTCTATCTTCAGTTTCCTGCCATTTCAAATTAAAAGAAAAGGCTTAGTGTGTAGTTGGAATGTTCCGTAATTAAATTTGCTTCATTAATAAAGAACATAATTCCAGTCATTTAATCGATAGAAAAGGATCTATCGTTTTACTTAAGATTTTAATTTTTCTGATTTCTTCCTGTTCAACTAATAATTAAACTTGACGGCAAGCTTAGGTGGGATTAGTATTCTCTTGCAATTACTTATTGTCAAAAGTTTAAAAATGCATCACCAGTTTTGCAGATTTTTTGAAAAATTAAAAAAAGGTTTGAGCATTAGTCAATATCTTTTGAGAAATGTGGTTTGTTTCTCTTGAGAAATGTGTATTTTATTTTCGAATGAATGGTTTGAATAAATTTCGAATTGGAGCTTAATTTCTGCTCACTTTTTGCTAACCGTCGATTTAACTCTTCTATAGTTCAGCTCTTGCTGAACTTACCAATCCAAAACGCCCATTTTCCTGCAATCCTTCAGAAATTGCTACATTACCGTTTTTTTTCTTCTGCTGGTTATGTAATTGCTAATATCCACGCCCATTTTGGCTTCAAAGCCTGCTTACAAAATTAAATTTAAGGGTAGTAAAGATCTTATTAGTTTCGATAATCGCTTAACATTTTCCACATTCTCCGTCAGTACGACCTTGGTTACCTCGAACAAACTAGAAGCCCTTTAAAATTTAGATTTAAGAAGTACGATATGTCAGTCATAAAGAAAGCAAAAAAATCATCAATAGCTGCACATTGTTGGAATCTAGGGCATATATTCAATTTCGGCAATGAATTTTTTTTCACTCCTGTCACATCAGCTTATATTGATGCCCAGGAATCTTGCTTTATTCATAAGAACTCTGATTCCCTTGTCAATGAAATTTGTCCCTCACCACTTTTCCATAGCCGGTGAGAATGCATTTTACCCTGATTTGCCTCTCTCGGCCACTGTGGTTTTTCTAGCATTTTTTTCGTTCTCTCTAGGTTATTGTGGTTTTTCTACTTTTGTTTCCCACCTTCATTTCTTCCCACAGTGGACTGATCATTGGGACATGGTTCCCAGCAGATCACCGAAGTCAAGCATCACTGACTGCGGTCAGTGTGCTGGTGGGTGACCACTTGGATCAGTCTGCGTAGGGACCGAGGGTGTGCGGTATTGGTCCTCGTTAAACTGTGCTACCGTAAAGTGCTCGACTTCGCGCGCAGGTCGTCGGGCTACCGAAGCGGGGGTGCCATCCCCTCCGCAGAGGATCAAAATTGTGATGGCATGTCTTCGGATCATCCTCAGGGATGTTTCCTAGACCGTCAATAATAGCCCATTGTGCAGCTCTAGTGCGACGTAAATGAACTACAACAACAACATTTCTTCCATTTTTTGCAGGCAATTTTACGTTTTATATTTCAATTCACTTTTGTTTCGTCACATTCACTTTTGGGTGAATCTTGAAAATGGGAGCTTATTTTTGAACACTTGTAAAATGCCGACTTATTTCCAGTTTGCATATCTTTGAAGCGAATAAAGTTTTAAATCAAGTAATATCTTACTGCTTCAGTTACATGAGGATTATTAATTTAGTTGTGAATGTGTTGGATGAAATTTTATGTAAGTAGATATGTGTTGATTTGTTCTTGATGTGGCCAGACTAAATTTATGATTAAATCATTACTTAATTTGCATTGCATAGCTAATAAATTAAACAATTTTATTTTTATTTTAGTTCCTCCTTCTGCTGTCAATATTAAACTGAAACCAAAGCGGCCTAAAGCTGGACAAAAAGTAAGTCAATTTTTATTAATTTAGATACAAATTTTAAAAAATTAGTTATGAAAAGAATATTTCTAAATCAGAGCGTATAAATTTATTTAAGATATGTGTAAGAATCGTTTTAAGACATGTTTTAGACATGCCGGTCCAAATTATTTAATGCATTAAAGAATTTAGAAATTATTTAACAGTTGAAAAATTGAAGGACCTTCCATGATTGTTTGCGTTTTGATCAATTAGACGTCCAGAATTTTAAAATATAATCATAACTGATTTAAAAACAAATATATTCGAGAATAGTTTATAAGTTCCATGGTTTATTATTTGACTTGATTTGATTAACGAAAATATTTGATTCAACGAAGCACTGACTTTTCATTTATACTTACACATTAGTTCCCTTCTCGTTAAATAATAGATGAAGATAAGCTGAAATTCTACCGTTTTTTAATGAAATAGGGGCATTTTATACCTACTAAAGGGTACCTTATACTCAAACCTACTTGAGGTTATGGGGTACCTACTAAAATGTTTTGTCCTCTTCCATCATTCTAGGCATAAGGTTCTATGTATATGCTCCTGTAAGGCTAACACATGGTTAAATAAGCACTTAAATTGGAATAAATTATGAAAAGTCAGAAATACTCAATATTTTCAATAAGTTATTCTTTTAAAAATTGCTGAGCAATAAAATATGAAATGGGCTAAAAAAAGGCCCTACCAATCTTTCCAGTGTTAATACATTCTAAACTAGATGTAACTAGTACAATCTAAATTGGAATTAATGAATTTGTTATCCTGCTTTAATTAAATTAGATAAGATAAAATATAATAATCTTCATGCATTAAAGTAATTTAAGGAAAAATACATATTTCTAACTTTAGATATGTTAATTTTAGAAAGTAGTTATAATTTAAGAATCTTGAATTTAATTTAAATAAAACTGTGAAAAATGTATTAATTTTATTCTAAAATTTATTTTCCATCTTAGTCATGAGCAGAATAGAATAAGTATGTAGCAAAAAAGACATAAGTGCATTTAAAATTTACTGAGATTTAAAAGGTTAAAAATAGGTATAAGGGTAATTTATTAAATTTCTATTTAAAATATATAGTAAAATTTGAATCTGTTTACAAATTAAATAGAAAAAAAAATTATAAGTAAAATATTATCTGAATGTACAAGAAAAGTTAAATTTAATGAATATATAGGAAGTTTTCTATTAAAAAAATTTTATTTATATAAAATACACACTTTAATAACTAATTCAGTAAAATTAATCTTATTCTGTAAAACACATAACTTTTTTATTTTTTACAAAAGATTACATTAATTAAATAATTTATTTTTATTAAAAAATCGGAATTTGAATTAGCTATAAAAGTGAACTTCTTTAAAAAATTACTTTGAACAAAAATCAATTTAGAAATGAATAGAACACTTATTTATTTACCATAAAAGAATTGTATTCAGAAAGTTTTTTCTTTCCTAAAAAAACAAATTATACATTTCTTATTAAAAGTACAGTCGCAATTTTTAAAGTTTCATAAAATGCTAAAAAATATATTAAGTTTAAGCGATATGTTGTTCAAATTTTTTTGGAACATTTAAAGAGAAAAAACGTAAACTAGAGAAAACAAAACAAATATTTCTATCTCTTAAATTCTTTTTTTTTTTTTTTTTTTTTTTTTTTTTTTTTTTTTTTTTTTTTTTTGTAACTTTAACAAAACAGTTATTCATTTTTTGTCAAAACGTCATATGGCCTGAGGGAAATGATGAGTTTTTCTTCTATTTTTTTAATTTTTCTGGCAACGAAATATTTTTTCTCTCCAAATTAGAGAAACATTAAAATCTGAATCTAAGCGTTATCTTGCTTTAAGTCAGTTTATCGATAGCTACATACATTATTTTTCTTTGAATACGAAAAAATATATTTATTTTGGTAGATTTTTTTCCCTGTGGTTTTGTTATCTTTTTTTTCTTTTGAAACTATTACTTAAAAAGTTTTTTTCTCTTCCTTTTTTTAATTTTTCCATCATCTGATTTTGTGCTTTCATCCGTATTGAGCTAATGGAGTTGACCTGAACTAGATGATACAATCTCTTATTGCAATGAATTTATATTCTAACTGTAAAGCAATTGCTTACACTCTTATTAAGCTTTTATTTTTAGAGTTTTAGTATGTTTGCATTAAATTGCATGCTTAAAAATGTTGTGGAGTTTAAGTGCTTTTCAAAAAAAAAAGTATTAAAATCAGCAATATTTTAATTGCGAAAACATGATTCGCTTTTAATTAAATATAAAATTAATAAAATTATCTGCAGTAATTCTGTAAAAGTTTCCTCTTACAATTATTACTGTACAAATTATCTCAAAACACAAATTTGGAAATGATAATGTTTTTAGCGTTTTCAGTTTCGGCTTAGCTATGTTTTAAATTAATAAGAACAATTACAGTGATTCTAATAAGCGTTTCTTCTTACAATAATTACTGTACTAATTATACCAAATCAGAAGTTTGGAAAAGATAATGTTCTTAGTGCGCTCATTTTAGCCTTAACTACGTTTATATATATATA